GTGACTGTGATGTTCATGTGGATGTGGGTGTGTGGTATGGCTGTTGTGATATGGTGGTATGATGTAATGTATCAAGCATTTTTGGCAGCAAGAGGAGTATGTCAGGGCTGGCTCTGCCCCTCCCAGTGCTGGCCTGGTGGTGTAGCATCTCCAGACCCGGTACCAGATCCCAGTGGAAGAAAAACCCACCCGTTTGTGGGTTTTGGTTTTTTTAAGGCCACGTTTGCCCAATGTGGGCCATGTGGTTTGTAGTCCTGCTCAGTGTTGGCTGCATTTAATCAGCTTCCTAGCTGGTTTCTCTTACTGAGCACATGCTGCTCTTGACAGCAGTTTAGACAGGCAGTGCATTTAATGCAGTTTTCTTGTATGTGAATATAAGATGAATGGCATCTGTCCCTATGCTGATTGGGAGGAAAAAAACCTTGTCTTGTATGTGAGTAAATATGGTATTTCTATCTTTGAAAGGAGTTTTTTTCTGAATATAAAATTAATCATCTGACCAAGTAGTCTACTCTGGCCTCAGTGCCCTGGAGGAATAAAGCTATAGGAATAAAGGTGATCTTGAATGCTTCATAGCACAGAGAGCAGCCCTCTGGATGTTCCTTGCTGAGTATTGCCTTCTGAAGGTTTAACAAAAAAAAATTGTTGAGCCGGCTTGTTTTATGCCAGTCTTAGGGAGGATCATGGTTGATTTGTAACTGTCCTTTAAGGTCAGATGGTACCATTATACTCATTTGGGTGACATCTTGGTAGTGCTTTTTCATAATCTAGTAGTATATTCAGGGAGTTGAAATGGAAAGATCCTGGAATGATAGAAGGCTGGTAAGTAAGAGCATAGATCCTAGCTTGTGACCATGGAAGTGCTATTTAGCTCGATCTCCAGGGGGGGTCCCATGAGATGGGGCTGCAGTTTAGATGCTATACTGCATCTGGAGATGTTTCCAAGGTGACGTATTAGTAATGGGAAGGAGGTGTCTTAGAGACCCGCTCTATAGTTTCTAGTGCTGCTCATGCAGGGCCTTATTATCGTGCATAAACTTGAGAACTGAATAGCACAGGAGCCAAAACGCTTCAGACAACTTTTAGTTAAGGTTCTGGCACTCAGGACGCTCCATAACTACTCCCTCTCTCTTGCCCTTGCAGTATTCTGGGTGGAACGTGATGGAAGATGGATCAATCCGAATAGAGGAGGCAACGGAGGAAGCTCTCGGCACTTATACCTGTGTGCCTTATAACGCCCTGGGTACGATGGGCCAGTCCCCCCCTGCCCGACTGGTGCTGAAGGTAATGTCTCTCTTAGCTCTCTTCTTATTCAGAGAAAATGTTCACTGTTTTCTCAGTTCAGTGGGACGATTTTGTTCCTAAAAAAGAGTTTTTTGGGGCCGAGGGTGCAGTTGGTGCTCCAGTACAGATGTTTTATTGTGGGGTGTGTGTGGGTGTGTGTGTGTGTGTGTGTATATATATATATACACACACAGGGCCATCCCTAGGGATGGGAATTGGGGCAACCACCCGAGGCCCCGTGCTTTGTGGGGCCCTGCAGAGCCAGACAGAGCGGCTGTGGCGACTGTGCTGCTGCCGGCTTCACATCCGACTGCTTGGCACCCCATCCCCTCCACTGCCGAATCTGCTGCCGGCTTCCTTCTGTCCGGGGGTGGGGCCCTGCACAGGCTGGTTTGCCCTGGACCCTGCACCCTGCTCGGATCGTGTGTGTGTGTGTGTGTATATATATATATATATATATATATATATATATATATATATATAAATAAAATCATGACTTAGTTTTAAAAAACTTGGGTTTTTTTAAAAGAAGAACTTCATGATTTTTTTTATTTCCATGTCACTAGTTCTGTCTTCCCATGCCATAGTCATAAACTGCTGAAGTGGATGTTTTGTCCTTGTTTCTTTAGTTAGCTTCCTTATTGCTTAGTAGAATTACAGGTTTACTTAGGGATTTTTTTTTCCACTCAGTGTGCTCATCTATGCTGAAAAAGGCAAACATAAGGGCCTCGGTCACATCTTTACTGCAAGAACACTGCAAGTTCAAAACATGAAGGGGCATGTCTACACTGCAGTGGCGATGCAATCATGACATGGGTAGGCTTTGCCCACTAGCTTAACTCTAGATAGCGTTGCTAAAAACAGCAGTGAAGACAGCAGAGTGAGCTGTGCAGACCCGCCAGGGACCTTGGGAATGCACCTGTGTTGCTCACCAGTGCTGAAGTCTGGCTTTCCACATCTTTGCTGATATTTTTAGCTAACAAGAGTGCTGCTAGCCTGGGTATGCCTACCTCTTCTGCTATCATACTTTGACTGCAGTGTGGACCTACCTCAAATTGCTGATCAAGTACACGTAACAGTATATTAAACCTTCCTAAGAGCACCCTCAGGGTTTACAATATGTATGTAGGTCACATATATGTGACCTACATACATATGGCTAGTATGTGTGTATAAACACACACACACATACTAGCCAATATTTTCAAATGAGAAGTAGGCTCCTAAACCCATATTTAGGCAATCAATGGCAAGATTTTTCTGAAGTGCCTAAAAGGGAGGTGTCCTTCTGAGTCAGATATCTGTATCTAGATATACGTCTATATATCTAGATATAGGTATAGACATATGACTTAGAAGTACACTTCCAATTTAAGCACTTTTAGAAAAATCTTGCCAGTGACTGCCTAAATACAGGTTTAGGAGCCTACTTCTGATCTGAAAATGTTGGCTAGTGTGTGCAGAAAGAAGAGGTTTTGCTAATGCATTGAGCCTGAAGAAGTGTTTGTTCTGCACACTAAAACAGCTTTGTTTTGATGCGACAAAGCGCCAGATTTCCTAGGGCACTTACATGTCTTACTCCCATTGAAATGAGTATATGTGATGATCTGGACCAAAGATATCGTGGCTTGTATTTTGAATAAGTATACAATTTGAATCTCTGATGCCGCAAGCACCTATGTGCATGCTTATCTTGGAGAGCACAAGGAATCCCACTGAAGTCAGTGTGAGGTGAAGTAAAACCATGATTCTAATACTTAACGTTTTATTTCTCACGCGTATATGTTTAATGATTTGAAAACCTGGTAAGGCTTTCTAAACCAATAACACCCCCACCGCAGCCCACCCCATTTACATTTTTGCAGGAGTGGGCCTTTATTATCCATTATTTTGGCGTTTTCCCTGTATTGTTGCAGATAGTTCAAATAAGTTATCCTAGCAGAGTGACTGTTTAAGGGGAAAAGGCAATTCAGCCGAAAGCTGCAGAAGCGTATGTTTTCAAATTTCTGTAAGCCCTCGACTTCATACTTCAAAAATAAATCAATTGTTTTAAATCAGTGATGCAAATGAAGCTGCTTTACATTTATTTTTCTGGCTAAAAATGCTCTAGTTAACATGATTTGTGAAGAGATCCTCAAGGAGCGGTTCTTTGCGTGTGTGTGCGCGCATGTGTGTACACTCTGTGTAAGTGTGTGTTTTGACAGTTACTTGAGTTTTCCCTTGGCTACAGGACCCACCCTATTTCACGGTGCTACCAGGCTGGGAGTACAGACAGGAGGCAGGGAGGGAGCTGTTGATCCCTTGTGCTGCTGCAGGAGACCCCTTTCCTGTCATCGCCTGGAGAAAGGTACCCGGCCTGCCAGACAAATCTGCAGTGCCTTTGGCTTTTGATGAATATTGCAGACAGAGAAGCCACACTCTGTCCCGGTAAGAACAAACTGCAGGTACAGCTGCTTCGCTTTGGGCTGTACCACTGCCGTCCTGTCCCGCAGGTGGGTGGGGGAAACCCAGCTCCTGGCAACAAAGCGTTTAATACCATGAAACCGTCACAGCAGCATCTGCAAAGCTGAGCACTGCCTCCACCCCTCTTCCTCTGGCTGCTCCACACTGGTATCAACTGCAGGGACACCCACCTGAGCTTCCCATCCTTTCTGCCATAGTTGCCAGAATATCCCCCTCAAACTCCAGTGTTGCGGCCGTGCAGCACTTGAGCGTGTTCACGTCGCAGCTGCAGATGCTGCGTTGTCAGGGCTCAGCAGCACTTTTGGAAGTGTCCCTCGCTGCTCAGTCCCAGCTTCTTTAATGAACTCCTGCTGCTGCTTTCACATGCCGTACTGAAATGTATCGTGCAGACTGGGCATCCACCCAGCGTGGATTGTACGCTGGGGAGAACCAGTCTGTTACTTTACTTCCACATGCAAATCACAGGCGCTAGGGATTTTACTTTGTCTCGGTTTTATTGGGGCAGGTGCCCCTGATGTGCAACCCTGCCTTGGCAGGATGGGAACACGTCTCCACATCTCATTACAACACTTGAGGACCTTTTCAATTGATAAGACACGTCTGGGACTATGGCTGCCATAGTCCTGCGGAGCTTGACATGAACGGTACCAGTGTTCTCCCAACTACGCAGTCCTGCAGCATGGGCTGAGGAGCGAAGTCTCATTTCTGCCCACGTTCAGAAGTGTCCTGTTTGCCAGTGGTACCAGGGCAGCCATTCTTCATCAGCTAGTCCTCATCAGTTTTTCATTCTGGGCTGTCCCCCCACCAGCCAGTGTGCTCCTTCCTCCATTCCTTTGAGAGGCAAACAGAGAAGTTTACGGGGCACGCTGAGCCCTATCCCTGCTGCAGGGTTCTCTCCCTTACCCTAGACTTCTCATAGACTAACTCCTCACTTACCCTATTTTATTTTGGCTGTGGAACTGGCCAGCATTTATATTTGACCTGTAGGGGTGGGATTTTCCATACACTGTGCTACATCTAACCTCGGAAGAATGGAGCTGGAGATGAAAGGTCTCCAACCAGGACAAGCAGCTAATCACATTTGGGGCAGTCAGTGCAGGGGTGCCCACTTCCTTGGAGGACCATGCACAGCTGGCATTGCCCTTAATCTTTCTGGGGTCAAAGTGGACGATGGTAAAATGGCCCAAGTGCAAACTGCGTTGGATGCTGGTAAGAAATTAGCACAAATTGAAGGCGAGTAGTTCATCGGTCTCTAGAGCACTCGTATCTTCCTTCCATACGACTTCCTCTCTTCATTCTTTTTTTCGTGTTTCTCTCTATTTTTGTTCTCAGTCTTCCTTGTGTGTCCCCTTTTCACTCCCCCTTCCCTCCCCTCATCTTCTGCCCTGATTATGTCTGGTCATGTCATCCTGCAGCGATATCAGTCAGGACTTGAATGGGCTCCCCGATGAGCATTAGGACAAAGGATTCGTGCTTCCTACAAGCTCATGGAAGCTACTGCCACTTCAAGCCTGTCTTTCACTGAGAGGCCACTGAGGACTTTGACTTTGCTGTTGCTAGCTGAAGCTTTTATTCCACTGCTGCCTTACAAAAAGGGAATCCAGCCATGTAGAGCCACTCTACCGTGGTTCACTGATACCATTGCAAAGAAGGCCAATAAATCACACCCCAGCTATATGTAATAAACCCCTGAAAAGCTATGCACGTGCCATTGACACACGTGCTAGTGATGTCTTCAGAGCAGCTTTGGGTTCATACAACTCCAGTTTAGGGCCATAACTGCCAGGTGTGAAATCCATCGTTTCAGTTATCACAAGAGAGTCCACACTTTTTCAGTTTAATTAAAATGAAGCACCTAGACTATTCTATACAAACGATTCCAAAACTTAGGAGCCCAGTTGTAGAATTAATCTTTATGGACCTGGACTGCCCAAATGCTGTGGTGTGGATGCAGCTACCCTTGATTTTACTCCTAAAGAGAGTGTCCTGAAAGCAACTGTACCCAACCCTATTCTCTTCTCAGTTGCCACACTAACTGAGGAGAGTTTGACCCCTAGTCCGGGAACTCGGGACTTGTCTACACTACAGAGCCTCTGCTGCTGTAGCTGTGCTGGTAGAGCCCTCTAGTGGAGTTCGTTGCTGGTATATTTAAATGGTCTCTCCCAGTGACATTAACTAAGCTTCCAGAAGTCCATTTTTGTTGGCATAGCTGTGTCCACTCTAGGCATTTTCCTAGCATGGCTGCTTTGACCATATGGTTTGATTCTTTTCTCTCCTCTCCCTCCTTCCCCTGCCTCTGATCCTAGCTGATACAGCTATGTGGACAAAATTTAAGCAAACAGACACACAATTCTTTTTAAAATAAGGCAGATTTGTGCCCAGCACTGTGTTTAAAAACTCCAGTGGGTCCTTAGAGGCTTCTTATTTTGAATGTCTAAGTGGTGTCAGAAGCAATCAGATATTCAAACCAAGCACCCTGTCTTATTTTAATCCCTGGCTTAGTGCAGTCATGTTTCCCTTTTGTGGTTGACACCAGAGGCTACCATAGCCTGGCAATAGGAGCTCAAGGAGTTCCTTGATCTGGAGACCTAGAGAAATTTGTGCTTTGGATGCTGACGGTCCTAGATTGAATCTCCTCTGAAGTCTGTGGTGTCTGTATGCGTGTGCGTTTATGCTTATGTATCCAAGTTGTAAAACCGGGCTCTGTTCTGCATGTGTATGTTGAGTCATCTTGCCATTTTTTACTGGCTTGTTTAAATGAGAACTCAGTAAACCTGCTGCCATGTGATGATTCTCCTAGCCAGCCACACATGTTGAAGAGTCTGGAGCCATTGCTAGCCCCTGGTAGTATTTGCTGTGACTTGCAAGTAGAACTTGGCTAACATAGTGCTGCCTCCTGTCCCTGCCTTGCAATGTGCTTCTCAGTTGTGTTTTTTTTTCTTTCCCTCTGCTCTCTCTGTTGTTTGCCCAAGGTAGGGAAGCCCAGTAGAAGCAAGCACAACACTCTTCCAAGTGGCAGCCTACAGTTCCGATCCCTCAGTAAGGACGACCATGGGGAGTGGGAGTGTGTCGCTACCAACATAGTCACAAGCATTACTGCCAGCACTCATCTTACAGTCGTAGGTATGGGAAGGCTTGCTCTAGTGGGCCAGAGGGAGGGGGCTTGACCATGTGGAGAGGGACCTTCAAGGGAATTGTGAAGGGTGGATATTGGGGGCATATAAGGGAAGGGGTTGCGTGGTCTGGAAGGTGGGAGAATGGAGTCCATTCTGGAGGACTGGAATGGAGACAAAATAACTGGGGGAAGGGGGAAGACCTGGAATGGCTTGAAGGGAGTTGTGGATGGGGAGGAAGAGGGGAGAGATACAGAAGAAATAAGGGGTTGATGAGTGAATGAAGGAGAGTGCCCTTACTTGCCTTCTGCAAAGTATGTTGGCCCATGCCTCTGTGGCTGTGGTAGGGTAGATCCCTTTAGATTTCTTTTCCAACCGTTCCTCACCCTGCTTCTGGGTTCTGATTTGAATCGGGACCTGGCATCTCCGGAGTCTCCCTAGATTTCCAAGCCTGGTTCCCTGACGGCATTGTTTGCTGCAGGGGTGACTTACCTAGATTTTCAGTTTCCAGATAGATTAACTGCTGGATAATTTGAAGACAAGTATGTGCTTCCTTGTGAGGAGAGGCTCATATTTTCTGTACAGTGTTGCACCAAACTGCATGTCTGAACGGCACAAGTCAGAAAGGCTCGCCATGAAAAGAAGAGCAACGTTTTCCTTTAATTTCACACTCCAGTGGTGCTGTCTTTAAATCGCTGTCCTTTTATTTAGGCCATGTCCCCAGGCAGATTGAAAAGCTCCTCTCCTCTCTGGCCAAGTGCATCTCCCCCTGCCACTGCACAGCCAAGGGACAGTTTATTTTAAATCTTGATTTTTTCCCCCCCCCTTTAATCCTACAAACTCACTGATCTTTTAAAATCTGCACCGCTGGGCTCCTAAGGTCTGGCCTGGTGGGGGAGGCAAGTGTGCCCTGCACGTTTCCTAGAAGCAGATCACTAGCCCAGGCAAGCGGAGGTGGTCAGTGCTACTGTCCTGTCTCGATGAGTTATGGGATGTGATAGTTTTTATCTGTTCGAGTCCTTGGCGAGCAGAGGGAGTCTGGGGAAGGTCCGCTTCTGCTCCAAGCACCGAATTGTGTTCGAGCTCTTAGCAGCCATATGTTCCCCAGTCCAAGAACTGCCTCTTCTCTGGGTGATCTGGTGACTGGGTCCTTTTATGTTTCTCTCTGCTACCTTCATACATGGAGCTTTCTCTCTGTTTTCAGGCACAAGCCCTCATGCCCCAAGCAACGTGCGCGTTGTGGTTTCCATGACCTCTGCCAATGTCTCCTGGGAGCCCGGCTATGATGGCGGATATGAGCAGACATTCTCAGTTTGGTACGGCCCTCTGTGAGTCACCCCAGCATGCTTTGCTCTCTGCTTCTTTTCCTTCCTTCTCAGCCAGAGCTGGGAGCAGGCGCACACACTGCCATTTCTCAGTCGGGGTGGGCAAAAGGTGAGGGCAGGACAGCTGGTAGGAGGCTGCGGGCAGGTGCTGACCCTATGTAAATCGCCTTAGCTCCATTGACTTTAATGGGCTTTCACTGCAAATCCGGTGTCCCAGAGCAGTGGAGAAAGGTGTGAACGCAAGGCTGCCACGTATCCTGGTAGAGCATCTTCTTCCTTCTTTCCTTTCCACAGCTGTCAGTTGATCTGGGAGACAGACCTACAAGTATAGTTGGCAACTTCCTTGTCCTTGCCTGTGTTTCTGTTGCAGAGGTCTGCAGGTTTGCCATGTGTCCCCTTTCCTTATCTGCTAGGTCAATCCATCTGTCAGCCCCTGGTTACAATACATGGAATATGCTTTTGTGTTTTGGTTTTTCACACCAATCTAACTTACTGGAACCTGCACCTAGACAGAGGTCAGCGGAAACGTGTGGTGTTAACAGTTAGCAGCCGCACGATTGACAGAAAACACAGGCTTTAAAATAAACGCTGAAAAAACCCAACCCTGCCAGAGTGCCCTGCTCTTACTCCACAGCTCCTTGCGGCGGCTCGGAGCCCTCAGAATATGATATGGGACTTGTTTTATGTAGATCTGGTATTTGCTCATGTTGGTGACGCAGATGGGAGTTGCATTTAATCACGCAGAGCCAGCACAGTTGAGACAATACACTGGTTTGTTCTCTCTGGCATGTTAACAGTGCGTGATCCAGCTCTCCTTGAAGTCTCAGGTAGATTCCATCTGTCCTTGGCCGTGCGGTGAGGATGAGGCCCTACAGTCTGGCTCACAATGCCCTAATTTTCCAATTGAGATGGACAATTAATAAAGCCTGTATCCTGCTACCCTTGGCTCCGAGGACAATGAAAGCCCCAGCCTGAAAGAACTCTTGAGAGAAGATAGATGATTAGTAGAAACAAATGATGCAGTGATGGGGACTTCTTGTTTTTCATCTGGAGTGTTCTTTGGTTTAAATTAATGACCGGGCAAAGCAGCAGAAGGCTGATAACCTTAAAAAGCCTCTTAATACCTGCTCAGAGTGAACCTCACATTCTGGCATCTTTGAATCCATGCACACCAGCAGCAATGCCAAGGTTCGCACATCCACCATTTTAACACAGTGGGATTCGCACATGCAGGATTAGTGTCAGTATTCAGGCCTGAGTTTTCCAGGGTGCCAGGATTCACGTTCCACATAGCATTGCCTGGGATTCACGCTACTAATTTCTGCCTGTGGCAGGACCCCTGCATTGTAGCTGCTCCCTAAGCCAGCTGGCTGGCTTTCTCCCCCACGCCCCTGTAAAGAAGTGGAGCGGTGCAGTGCTCTCGCAGCAGACCCTTGCCTTCTCAATTGCGACAGGCTGCAGAACTGGGCAGCCTCTCACTTGGCCGCTGAGCTTTTTCTCATTCTGTTTCTTGTCAGAGAATCCATCAACTGAAATGTAAAGGTGAAAACGACCTTCCCGTTCTGAGCCACGTCTTCTCCCCCACCCCTGGTTCGCTGGGGGTTTTTTCTTTTTCTTTTTTTTTTCCGTTACTCTTTTTTTGCTCACTTTCCTTCCCTTAATTTGGCCAGATGGAGTCTGCTGATAGAGTGGAGATTGGATACATGCCTTCCATAATAAATTCTACTCGGCTTTAGATCGTGGACAGTATCAGTGTTCAGAAAGTTGGGGGCTGGGTAATTGTGCTGGGAGACAAAGGAAAGGCAATAGAAAGAAGGAGAAATTGAGAGGAAAGAGAGAGAGAAAAATGAAGGGGAAAAAAGAGCCCTGAGCGAGAGAATGGGCTTCGAGCAAAGAATTCACCTGGCTGCATCTCTGATTAAACTGTCCTTGAAAAGGACTGATTAAGCCTTCCTTGGGAGATGTGCCTTGGTGGAGGATGCCAGCTGCTGCTGTGTGCTGCCAACTTCTTGTGCTGGTTTTCATTGCATTCCTGAAAATCCTGGACTCCCCGACTCTCCCCGTGGCTTTCAGATCCCAAGTGAAGTATGATGGAAGGGAAAGACTGGGCAGGGAGAGGTGTGAACGTTGGCTCAGGTCTGGTGCAAGATCACTGCAGCGGTGTTGGATCCTAGGCGGCACGCTGGAGAGAAAGGAAGGGACCCTTTGCTTGAGGCCAGTTAGTCCTCCAAGTTTTAGCTGGTCGCAGAAAGAGCCAGCAAGGAGACTCTAGTGGTATAAGGCACTAGATGGATTGGGGAGCTAAGGTGAAAAAGGGCTATGCGCTGCCGAGCAGCTCTTTCTTATTGGCGTTCACTTATCAATGTCAGCCCCTGCGCCCTCTTCTCTTCTCTTCTTTGCAGTCTGGAAATCTGTACCCAGCCAAAGGTGATGTATTTTGTTCCCTGCTGTGTTTATATTGTCCTCTTCAAGCAGCACATTCCTCAGGCTGATCCCTTTGCGGTCTGCACTTTCTCCTCTTGGCCCTCCACACAGCTACTGCCATCCTTCCGATGTTTCCTTCTGTTTGGACTGAGCTCCCAGTATTAATGCTGGCAACGTTGCACCTGGGGAGGTAGAATATAGAGCATCGAGAGGCTTTGAGCTTGAGTTTTGTCACCGCTGTCTACAATGGCAACTTCTTCTTCAACCAGCTGGAATAAAGATTCGGAGAGCTGCAGAGTTGATCCCATTCTGCCAAGTTTAGCTTGCAAACCAGTTTAGCTTAACTCAGGTTTGCTATGGTGCTTTAGGCTAGAAAGGAATGGGGTTTAAGCAGCCACTCCCATACCTGAGGCCCTTGAAGTGAGATCATGCCTGGAATATGGATGTAGTAGATGAGGTAGCTGCCAACAGCTCTCACTTATGGCCTTATATGTTATAATCTGTTGGAGTGAGAGGAGCACTGGCCAGCACCTTCAGGCTGCAGTTCTGCCTGAGTAATTCTCTCGCTTCTGCTGCCTTTTGCTGCTTTGAAGAGGAGGAGTGGCATCTCTGATGCCAGGTCACTATCGATATGAATATTTTTTTGTTCCTTTATATTGTGCCTTCCACCTAAGGCTGTCAAAGTTCCTGCAAGTTTATTGGCTCCCTTAGAAGGCACTTGTGGTTGTAGGACCATGCTTAGCGGGACTGTTGGGACCCATATGTAGCTGAAACTCGGTCTGAGTTCTTTCCTTTTGTAATTACGAGCAGAGACTGAATTCAAGTCCAGTTTCATGGAGATATTCGGAGGCAGAGTCCTTGGGAAGACAGCTGTGTAACTGGAACATCCTGGTTTGGTACATGCAGTCTTGTCAGGGAAGAGCTTTTCTCATGCTTGATGGTGATAAGTGTTGGATTTATTTCCCACCCTCCCCCAGTGTCAGGCGGTTCCAGTTACTTAGCTGCCTTACTGAGATTGACAGCCTCGAGGCCTGGGCCAGGCATCCATAGCGAGCCAGTAGAAGGGAACGTGAAGGCAGCATGGTTCAGTGCGTATGGGAAACCTGAATCGGACAAATCTCCTTTCACAGCAGCTCCTCCCCTGACTCCAGACACCAGCTTTTGGGACAGAGGATTCTGGGGACTGTAGGTTTTAGGTTAGGGTGTTGGCTAAGAAGGGAAGCCTATCTGCAGTCGTGTCTCTGCAGCTCATTCTGGTCTGATTTATGCTGCATTGCTCTGTGCACATGCACTGCTGCCTTCCACACTTGCATTTCAACCGCTTGATGCTTCCTTTCCCACCTCTTTTTCTCCCTCCCATTTTGTCTGCCCCATCCTTTACCTCCTGCCTCATGGAGTTGCCTAAAAGCAAAGCTTATGGCTTTTCCATTTGGCCTCTACACTGTAATGTGTCTCTCTCAAATACATACACACACCCACTTCATCTCACAACCTACGGTAACCCCTCCTAAATACTCTGCTGACATTATTGTGAACTGCAGCCTATGGGAGTGATCACTAGAATATGTCTTCCAAATAGAGGTGTGGAGGTTATACCTATTGATATTTGCAATACCGGTGCATTGCAGCGATGCTTCTTTGAGGCACTGGAGTCTTCGCATCATGATATTTCTCATGGTTTTGTGTCGCTCTGGCTTGGCAGGAAGTCTCGCAAGTCAGGAGTCTAGAGATTACATTTGGGAATGGTTGCTCACCTTGTTTAGTGTGTGTGTGTATGAGAGAGAGAGAGCGAGACTAACAAAAAAGGCCTTGAGGCTTTCCTGTCCCAAAGGCTCACTTCTTTCCCTCTCCTCCTCGTGCTGAGGTCTCTGCAAGTGCTCCTGGACAGTGCTGTTCTGGATACCACCATGAACTACTACAGGCTTTCCTTTGTGGATCCCTCTTAGTATGTTGGCCACCCATTAGCTATGGGAACGGAAGAAATGAATTGGTGGTAGTTAGAAGAGGCAAAAATGGTCATTGAGAAATAAGAGCATCCCATCATCTTCCCAGATACTGATTGACCTTTGTCATCTTCTCAGTCTCTAAATTCTCTAGGATCACCCAGTTTCATTGCCCTTTTGGTGGGATTCTCAGGTCTCATGTTTCTTGGATGTCACATGTAGCTCTTCACTGTTCGGAAACCCATGTCCGAGTCAGAGGGGCTAGATAGAAGTGTGTATATTTTGCAGCCACAGGCTTTCAGTTTGCAGGGAGTGGCAGGAAACCACTGAAGGATAAAAGCACGAAACGGGAAAGACCTATTCAAAGCATTGTTGGTGCTGCTCCATTTTTTTAAAGCAATTTGCTTGCCTATGTTCTTAAAGTGCAGCTATAATTAGCGGGGAGAGCACCAGAAACGTGAAGCTCTGCTATTGTCTCAAACACTTCTACTTCGTTTCCAAATAAATATATACATTTGGGGTGGAGGGATTGTTTTTCCCCTAAGCTGCCAGCCTGGCATCCCTTGGATCACATTCCTTCTTGATTTTTCAATCTGGCCTATTTTTCATTAGCGGTAATGAGGATTATCAGCAGCAGTTTCTGGAATGGGTGTGCAAACCCGTTGGGTTCGGTTCTCATTTACACTGAGGCTTCTTTCTGCTGCTCTGCAGTGTAAATAAATTGATTCCATTCTCAGAGCCTCTCTCGCTATTCTGGCAGCGTAAAAGGGCCTTCGTATATGAGAATCCAGCCTGGGGTCTTATGTTCAAGCCTCCTCTCCGCCAGCACAAGTCCAGAGTTGCAGAGCGCTCCAAACTTCTCACTGAGAGTCCTTACTGCGTAGCTGCAACTCAGGTCCTACTCTGGTTCGTTGTCTCCAGTGGGATCGCAGGTGTTGGAAGGGCTGAGAGCAAAATTCAATCTTGTTTTGGGAACAGTGCATTGGTGACACGACGCCAGAATAGACTCCCCCTTCCTCTTCCATAGCTCTGCAATTTTAACAGGCAATAAAAAGTATGGTACATTTGCTTTTGTCATTGCTGGAAGTAAGGATCTGGCTCTGAATACTCTGAGGCAGGTCCGTTGAGTTAGAAGGCTCTATATTGGCCAAAACTGGCCGCGTCTACTTGAGACATTTACTGTGGAGCTGCCTAATTAGCTCCACAGTAAAATCTTTGTGCCTACACATGTGGCCCTATTAAGTCACAGTAAACTAATAAGCACTGCCGTAGTCAGTATTTGTAAATACAAGTACTACCCTGTGGTGGCATTATTTACTGCGCAGCAACGTGCGTGTAGATGCTGACGGGGCTGGCTGGGGCACCAGGGTGCTTCAGTGCAGGGGCTGCCTGCCAGCTAACCCCACACTGTAGCGCTCTCATGCCCCATCCAGCCCCTCCTCAGCACATTGAGCTGGGTCAGAGCAGCCCGGGGCTGGCAGACTGACCCCTTTGGCCCCCTGCCAGCTGGGGCTGATCCGACCCACCTCAACGTGCTGTGGTCCTGGATGCACGTGTAAACGTGGCACCCGGGAGCAATAAACTCCAGTGTGTTACGCACCGGAGTTTATTGCTCCATGCTAATAGCATGTGTAGATACACCCACTGCAGTATAAGAGCTGCTTGTGTAGAGTATGGTGTAAGGTAGGAGGGAGGGTTGGGAGTGCTGTTAGTGTACTCTCTGCATGGGTGTAGAGTGGAGCCAAGGGAAGAGCTCCAGGCACCCAGCGAACAGCATGAGTCCTGGTTTCTGGCTTTCCCCTAGCCCAGTTTCAGTGCATGCTCTATCTATGGTGGCAGAATCTCAGCTCCATGTCCATACACATTCTGGTGTGAAGCCCAATCCATCTTTTGGACTGTTCCATGATTGCTTAAGAGACTGACTCGCACTGTGTACTTTCTCTTTCTCAAAAGCACGTCCACTTGAGTTGCCTGTTTTCTCTCTTGGCAGGATGAAGAGAGCACAGTTTGGACCCCATGACTGGCTGTCTCTTCCAGTGCCATCAGGTTCTAGTTGGCTGCTGGTGGATACCTTAGAACCAGAGACAGCATACCAGTTCAGTGTCTTGGCTCAGAACAAACTGGGCACGAGCTCCTTCAGTGAGGTGGTCACTGTGAACACTCTAGGTGCGTTGGTACAGCGTGGGGATGGGGCGAGATTGAGAGTCCCCAGAGCAGGGAGGCAGAGCTGTTTGGGCTGGGGTGGCAAGAGGAGGAAGGGCCTTGTGGTGATGTGCGGGACGTCTTAATTGATGGCCATGCTGGCAGTGATACTGCTCAAGCAAGTACCAGTACTTGCCCATGTGGGGGGCATTTTGTGGCTTTATCAGGTACCGCAGATTTTGCCAGACTGCAGAGAGAAATAATTATAGCAGTATTGTCTTAGCTCTGGAGTTTCTTACTCTGGTACCATTCAATGGCCAGAGCTCCAGTGCAAATGCAGTTCAAGTTGCTAGTAATCAGAAATCATTACCACTTGCTAGTTGCAGTGTGCACCATATCTCGCTCCAGGTGACACCGCAGAATGACCAGCACCGCTAGCTCCCATGGCCCCCAGCTGCCCCAGCTTCAGCAGCAAGACCAGGGAACTGGTTGGCATTTTTAATATTGTGTGCCTTGTTCCTCCTAGCCTCATGGCATCTTCAGTTGCTCCCCGTCCCTTAGATCCCTTCTGTCTTCTAGACGTTAGACCTTGCTGGTGGCACGTGCATGGATGCATGTCTTAAACCTGCAGCTGAAGAATAGTAACGAGTGCCTTAATGAAGCAAACTAACAATCTCTTTAGTTCACATCCTTGTCTCAGCCTGCAGTTAGTGCCTAGTGCTTCTGAGAGACCGTGCGTGGATGAACCAATTATACTGACAGAAATGGGGGAGGGGAGAATTACTGCTCATGAGCATGCGCCTGCTGATCTGTTGTAACTGTTTTGTGCGTCTGTGCCTGTCCTGCAGTAACTGGAAGCTATGCTGGGACAGCTCACCCCAGAATGAAACGACTGCTAACTTATTGCAGTTGAGTTTCCATTTACTATAGGATAAATGGCACGTGAAACAGTTGCAACAAATCACCTTGAATAGTGAAAAGTATCCTCTCCTTCTAAACTGGTATTGTTTTGTCTGTCCATACCCAGAGTCATAATGCACTTCCATGGTGCGGTCCTCTCCAGTGCAGGTAGATGATGCGTGTCTAGAAGCGCGAGAGGGTCGCAGACTCTCACGGCTTAGATATTTCCTGGCACAAGTCCACATTTAATAGATTTCATAGATATTAGGGGCTGGAAGGGGCCTCGTGAGATCATCGGGTCCAGCCCCCCGTGCCATAGGCGGGAAGTCAGCTGAGATCAAGTGAGTGCTTGATAGCAAGATCAAGGCAAGATAGCACTGGCCCTTCCCAGGAGGTGTGAGAGGAGAGGATGGAAAGGCATGAGCGCTCATTAAAGCGAAGCTGCTGGCCTGGATGCAGGAGCCAGCTACTGTTTTCCTGGAGGTCATTAAATGCATTTTTTCCCCCTATCCCCTTCCCATCTTTTGTGTCTTCAGCATTCCCTGTAACAACTCCAGAGCCCCTGGTGTTAGTTACCCCACCGAGGTGCCTAACAGCCAATCGGACACAGCAAGGAGTCCTGTTGTCATGGCTTCCTCCAGCCAATCATAGCTTTCCAATTGACCATTACATCATGGAGTTCCGTGTAGGGGAGAGATGGGAAATACTGGATGATGCCATCCTGGGAAGCGACAGTGACTTTTTTGCCAAGGACTTGTCTCAGGTAAGAAGAGGCAGGCTGGCTGTGCCATGGACTGCTCCTTCCCTGGGTCCTCCAGTAGCTATGTCAGCTGTATTACGGCACTGCGGGAGCTTCCTGGGTATATTCTTAGCATCTCTCTTGCTTGTTGCCATAGTTGGGACTGTTTTGGTTTCCAAAGGAATTCCCTTACCAGCCCAAGAGATGGGTGGTCTGCTGAAACAAGGTTGGGCAGCTCCATTTGCTGGTCTGCCAAAAGCCTCCCAGTGTGTTTTGCTCTTGAAGGAAGTTTCTTATCAGTAGCGCATGTTGTTTCATGTTTGCAGGACACCTGGTATGAGTTCAGAGTTCTGGCTGTCATGCAGGATCTCATCAGCGAGCCCAGTAACATAGCGGGTGTGTCCAGTACAGGTAGGTGGTCATTTCTCTTCCCTCCCTCCCAGTGACTGGCAATTTAAAGCAAGTCTACACTGAAGTCAGAGGTGTGATCATGACACGCATAAGCACAGCTGGGCTAGCCTTCATCGAGCTAATACGGGCACTAGCAATGGCATGGCTGGGGCTGCATGGTTTTGAGGTGTGTCAACGGGATGTATAAAGATGCCTGGAAACTTGGGTATGTGCTTGGGTAGTAATGGCCACTGAAACTGGCCAGATTAAGGCTAATTCAGATATGTCTACACATGCTCCAATATGCCTCCAGACATGCCTGTACTGCAAAGGCTATGTTTGCTCTGCAGAGTCCCACCCAGGACCCTGCTGAGCACACCTGCCTGCCTGCTCCAAATCCGGAAATGTGCTGTTGAGGTAAAACCAGAGCATCCCTCTATCATGTTCCTGAGACCTGCCTTTGAGAACTGCCCCTGGGCCAACGCCTGAGTGGCTCTTCCGGTGGATTTGGAGCATATCCTTGGGGCAGGGGGCTGGACTTGATGATCTTCAAGGTCCCTTCCTACCCTAATGTCTATGAAATATTAGTAGGAGCAGGTAGTGGAGGCGAGGGGGGGAGGCAGGATGCTCTGTAGTGTCCCAGGTGGGATACGCTGCCACCACAACGCAGACATTCCTGTAGAGTTGCACGTGGGAAGCATTATTGCTCCCTAAGGAGCAAGGGAGAGTCAGATCCTTCCAGAGGCGTAAAGCCTTCGGTGCACAGACTTCAGTAGAAATTGAGTGCTCTGCTGCTCCCGGGATCATGTCACAAAAACTAGAAAGTCGTCATGGATCCCCAAGCAGCTCAAAACAACATTAATTGGAACAGGAAAGAAATCAATGCAACTTATTAATACCACCCAGGCCAGTACGAAAGCAGAGCACATAATATATCAACACAACACAGTGTGGTAGCGTATAAGAGCCTGACGAAGCCAGGGAGTTGCTGTGAATCTTAGCTCTGCCAAACGCACCAAGAACATTGATCCAAATCGGGGACTGCACAGCATCGAAATGGAAATGCAAGTTGCATACTGGGAAATGCAGCACTGCAGTGCGGAGCAGAAGCAAAGGTATTGTAGCTCCACGTAGCAGACTGCAACACATTGCAGCACAAAAAAAAAAAAGCACTGTTCAGCCTCCTTCGCAGCACAGAAGAATATCTCATGAGCAGGATGCAAGAGAAGCCTCACCTCACCCCTGTTTCACAAATTACCATGTTGTGATGGAAAGAAACATAATCCATAGAAGAAGAGAGAGGAATAAGAATGATGTGAGCCTAAATTACATCAGCTCAGGGCACAGGAGGCTGAGCTATCCGCTGTAACTTGTCTCTGCTGTGCAGAGGACAGATCTAGTCTTGCTCTGCCCCCAAGTGGTGCTCTGCAGAAACTCTTGGCTTGACGCAAGCTGAAACCTTTTCCTTTCCTCTTACGGAGCTTGTCTGCTGGAGTTTGGTAGCTTTTGCGTCTGTGGATATCACCTCATATGTCTGGATCGAACCACATGTCAGCCTGACCCTGGGCACCTGGCTTTGCACCAGCATGTGGCCAATCTAGCACTCGTGGCCATGTTATCTGGCCTGCAGGGCTCCCCACGGATCCACATTTGGCAGCAGGGGAGAGGCAATTAATGCTACCACTGCTCCCCTGTTGCCAAATTTCCGGACGTTTGGAGAGCCTCACAGGCCACATGACGCGGCTCTGTAGGCTGGATTTGGCCCTCAGACTGGGAGTTGAGCATCCTTGCTTTATTGGGATGCGTCTGCTGGTTTGCTAGGCTGTTGACTGAGAACCTAAAGCCCACCTCCTGTGGACCACCTACCTGCCTCAGATAATAGCAGGATGCATTTACTGTCAGGCTGGGCTGGATACAGATGCGACCTAGGTGTGAAATGCTCTGTCGTAGCTGGAGTCCAAGGTATTGGTGATGCCTTGGCCCCTCTCTCTCCCTTTGGCACACTGTAGGGATTTTCTCTTTGTTATTGGGACCTTTGCTTGTATGATATGCAATGCAGGCTAGGGTCGGTGTTGTTTTGGACCCTGTTAGATAAATGCTTGTCGCACACATGGCAATGATATCGGGGGCCTGTTCTCTGACTAGGGAGGTCCCTTCCAATCCTCTGCTCCTTTCAGCAGTCTTATGAACCAGCCAGTTCTGCAGTAGTTGCTTCAGTTAATGCATGTGAGCTATACTGACACATTTTCCCACTTCCTTGCATCCTGCAGTATGTTTTGGTAATTCAGAGGGGTTTCCTTTTCCTTTTTATTTTCTCCAGATGTATTTCCACAGCCTGACCTAACAGATGATGGTTTGGCCCGACCGGTGCTGGCTGGCATTGTTGCCACCATCTGCTTTTTGGCTGCTGCCATCCTCTTCAGCACGCTAGCTGCCTGCTTTGTCAACAAACAACGCAAACGCAAACTCAAGCGTAAGAAAGGTGAGGCTAGTTCCTTGTGTGTGTTGATCTTGTTCTGTCTTGGTTGTGATCTTCATCCCTGTCTGTCTCTTCTTTCACCCCTGAGTGTCTCCAGATGAAGCCTGTCCTACCTCCATCCTTCAGCCGTGACTTTTTCTCCTTCCCCTCTTCATCTATGATCTGAATAGATGGTTTAAAAATAAAGCCTCAGAGATGTGTATGGCAATCTAGAGCTCATGTTCAAAAGGCCCTAGCCTCTTACAGCTCAGGGGGGAAAAATGAAGTGCTTATGTGCCAAAGAAAAGACGTATTCAGGCTATACTCTCTCTGTTGCTGTCTAAAAACGTGATCAGAAATGGCAGAGGCAGGGTGAGGTGAAGATGAAACAGAGAGAAACTGCAGACGGGGAGCTTGAGGGAATCTTCTGAATGGCGATAACTGTTAGACCAGTGGGTTTTAGAATGAAGTTTTTCATTCTTGGCAAGAAAAGGGAAGACTCTTCATGCAGACACTCCCCTTCCTAAGATCCCCCCCAGTGCTTGGTTCTCAAGTCACTTCCTTGAGTGGGCCACCAAGAACAGCTGCTCAGACCACTGGGGCTCCCTGGATCATGTAGCCTATGAACTGCCGCGTTAGACTATAGAAGAATTGCACACAGGAAGTGGTGGAGGTCCCATCGCTCCAGTTATATAAAACTGGGACTGGAACAAACCACACAAGAAAGACCAGTTGAGAAAACTGCAACAGATTTACACTGGCTGGGGACTTGGGGCCATGGACGTTGTTCATCTCAGGTGCATGAGATTCTGTGGCAACAGGACTGATAGGAAATTGTCTGGAGCTCTTTGTTGTCAGCAACCATTAAAGCACTAGAACTACCAAACCTTGGTCTCTTGTTGAGTGTCTTTTTTTGTTGGTGTTCTTGATGTAAGAAGTTTGTTGCCTCTTTCTGCCTAGTTGCGCCTCTTTAGCATTCCCCTTTTTCTCTTCCAGACCCTCCTCTCTCGATTACCCACTGCAGGAAGAGTCTGGAGTCTCCGTAAGTATCTCTGACTCAGAGGTGCCACCTAGGCTGGGATCTGTCAAGTGGTTTTGAGACTTCTCTTTGTAGGGATGCTGCTTGTGGGAAATGGAAATGACTAACATTGCTTTTGATGATTCCTAAACTCTTTGGAACCAAAAACCTGCAAGACGCTACGTGGTTTTGGAGCAGACGAGAGAGGAGGTAGATTCAACGAACCTGCGTAAAGACCTGAGGGCACAGTGCAAACCTAGTAGAGGTGGAACGGAGTTGTACTAGAAGTATTATAAGTGGTTGCTTAAAAAGAAGGGGCAGCCTAGGGAAAATGGGAACCTTAATGGAAGCTAGGTATCTAGAAATCTTGCACCTTTTGGTGTGAGCATGTCTGTGTGTGTGCATGTTCTTTCAATGGGGAGTTTAGAGGGTAGAATGATGCCTTGCCTTATTCCCCTGTTCTAGCTTCCTCTTCCCACTTATGGATCACTGCCATTTGCCGTGCTTGTCACAACTCCTAGAACCTACTGGAACTACTCAGGACATCCACCCAAAAGCGTTGGTAGGGACAGAGCTTCTTCCTGATGTGATCATAACTCTCAGGTTATCTCCCATAGTGGCTTCAGGAGAATCATAGAAGATGTGGGACACCCCAGTGCTTGGTGTTTTTAATCTTGTTTGGCTGGCATCCGCTTTAATTTCGTTATCTCGGGTTCATTTGGATCTGCTGCACTTCTGCCTTTAACTTATGTCCCAAGCCTTCTCAGTAGGAACAGAGGAACTATTTTCATAATGCAGTTGCTTCCCTCTGCACGCCTGTCAAGTCCCCTCCCTTAAGCTTGGGAGGAAGGATGACTTTTTTGACTCCGTTTGGTTTGACACTCTTTTCACATCTTAGTTTGAGCTGGAATCAGAAGTGCCCAAATCCTTTAAAAGGAATATGTTATCGTGTTCCTTTCTATCTGGAAGCAGAAGCATTAGGAATCACGAGAGAGAACTTGTTGGAAAACTCTCGGCCTAGTTCTGCAAGAGGCTCTGATAGTTCAAACAAGCATAACAGTTGTTGAGTACTTGAAATGAAGCCAAGCTCTAGATCCGTCTTCACTGGTCTCTAGTTCTCTGGGGTTCTGGAGCTAATTTGAAGGAAAGGTAGTGCCAATATTGCTGGCATTTGGGGGTGCATGTAAGAACAGAATACTTTTTCATTTGGGAATATGGGGCATGGGGGGGTGATGTGGTTCTTCTTTGCTCCTTTTCTCTTATTCTCACTTCCTCACAACTTGCGCAACCACTGGGGCATTGCTGAAAATGAGAAAAGCTTCTTCCATCGTAATGGTTTCTGCACTGTCGTCTTCCAGGAGTCTCTCTTTTGAGAACAGTTAAGACTTTGATTTTGGGTCCAGTTGGCCTGTGGCTCAGCTGTGCTGATATGCAAGCCCCAGTTTTTTCTTCTCCCTCTGTGACCGTCCCCTTTTTTGTTTTGTTTTTTTGGCTTTTTCTCTTCTGTGGTCTAGGTTGTCTTCCGGCAAGGTGAGTCCCGAGAGCATCCGCACTCTCCGGCCCCCCTCCGAGTCCTCTGACGATCAAGGCCCACCGGGCAAACGAATGCTGAGCCCCAGCAAGGAGAAAGAGTTGTCTCTCTACAAGAAGACCAAGAGGGCCATTAGCAGCAAGAAATACAGCGTCTCCAAGGCTGAGGCCGAAGCTGAGGCTACCACCCCTATTGAGCTCATCAGCCGTGGACCAGATGGCCGCTTTGTGATGGACCCCTCCGAGATGGAGCCCTCGCTCAAGACCCGCCGGATAGAGGGCTTCCCTTTCGTGGAGGAGACGGACATGTACCCTGAGTTCCGCCAGTCGGACGAAGAAAATGATGACCCCATGATGCCCTCATCTGTAACAGCCCTCAAATCCCAGCTGACCCCTCTGTCCTCCAGCCAGGAGTCCTACCTTCAGCCACCAGCATACAGCCCCAGATTCCATAGGGGCTTGGAGGGGACAGGTGCCCTAGAGGGTCGCCTGCAGGCCACTGGCCAGACCAGACCACCAGCCCCCAGGGGTTTTCACCACAGCCAGTTTTACGGTTACCTCAGCAGCAGCAGTCCTGGGGAGATGGACCCTCCACCTTTCTACATGCCAGAAGTCAGCCCTCTCAGCTCTGTCATGTCCTCCCCTCCTCTGCACCCTGAGGGGCCCTTCGGACACCCAACGATCCCCGAGGAGAACGGGGAGAACGCTTCCAACAGCACCTTGCCCCTGACTCAGACGCCCACGGGGGGCCGATCCCCTGAGCCGTGGGGGAGGGCTGAGTTTCCTTTCAGCGGCCTGGAGGCTTCTCCCATGATATTCCCTCACCAGCTCCAGCAGTGCGACGTGGCCGAGAGTGTACAGCCAAAGGCCTGTCTTCCTAGGGGGCCGCCCCCTTCCTCCCTCCAGGTCCCGGCGTCCTACCCTGGCATCCTGCCCCTGGAGGCACCAAAGAGTTGGACTGGCAAGTCACCTGGCAGAAGCCAACCCTCTGTGCCCACCACCACCAAATGGCAGGACAAACCTATGCAACCTATGGCAAGTCAAGGGCAGCTAAGACATACCAGTCAAGGTATGGGCATACCCGTGTTGCCTTACCATGAACCGTCCGAGTCAGTCGGCCACAGCGGCACAAGCACATTCAGCCTGGACACCAGGTGGTATGAGCCCCAACCCAGACCTCGGCCAAGCCCTCGGCAAGTCAGGAGGGCTGAGCCCAGTTTACATCAGGTGGTGCTACAACCTTCGAGGCTTTCCCCTCTGACCCAAAGCCCCCTCAGCTCCCGCAACAGCTCCCCGGAGCTGACCGCACGTGCCAGACCGCGGCCGGGCCTCATCCAGCAGGCAGAGATGTCGGAGATCACCCTGCAGCCCCCCGCAGCGGTCAGCTTCTCCCGCAAGTCCACCCCATCAACTGGATCCCCAGCTCAGAGCAGCAGGGGAGGAAGTCCCAGCTATCGACCTGCTGGGGCCTTCACCTCTTTGGCCACTGGTTTCCCCTCCTCCCAGGGCTCCTCCCTGCCCGTGGACAGCATGGATGTTTTTGGAGAAATTCCCTCTCCGAGGAGGGCTGGGGAGGAGATTCTCAGACCAGAGCCTACATCGACAACATTATCCACTTCGGGGTAAGTGTGTGAAACCTTGAGTTTCCCCTCTACCTTCTTCTCCTTCCCCCACCCCACCTCACCTGCTCCCTCCAACTCCTTCCCCCACCATCATCAACTGATATTATAGGGTTTGTCTGGACACCCTGCAGCATCCCTTTTGGAGATGATTTCCCATTGGCATTGATGGGACACTGCTCTGAAGAGGCTCATGCTACTGTTGCTACTCAGCTTGGTACTGACGGGCACTGCTAACGCTAGTGGGTGAAATAGGCAGAGAAACGCTTGTTTGTTCACGGTGTATGTTACTCTCCAACAGTTCCTTGCGATTTGGGACCTTCCGTGTCTTGGGATGCGTGCTGTCCATGAAGAGGCATGTAAGGAACTAGATTATGGGTTCAGTCACCTGTGCTGGTTGGGTGAGTGTCCCAGCATCACTGGCAGTTTCCTTCTCTAGTTCCTGGCTCTTGGCTTCCTTGGAAAGTTCAGCCTTGTGTGCCTCTTCGTCTTCTATCTGTTCCTTACTGTGAGTCTGACCATGCCCCAAGACAGAGACAGCCGCCAAAGTCACCCTGCCACCCCATCTCCAAAAGGGATGCTGCAGCCCCAAGACTCGGGCAGGGAGAGAAAACGAGGACTTAGCCACACGTCAGCATGTAAGGAGAGGAAAAAGTCCCGACTGGAAATCAGGAAGCTGCCGGCATTCTCAGGTCCTGCCCCAAAGAGGGAGGCGCTGCGCTAAACTCTAGCGGCTGGTTTTCCAGGTACCAGGGTTGCACCAGGCAAAGCGTCTTTTTCTCTCTGCCTTTCTCCTCTTTCCCTCCGTCTCTTTCACAGCACCTTGAATCTTGTAGACGTGCTTTCCTTCCATCCTTTTGTCTTCCTTGATACTTATTTTTCACGTAGTGGGGGTTTAACCCCTTGATCCCTCAGCTGGTGGAACGTAAGGTTTAATGAATCGAAGCAAACTCTGAACTCAGAACAGTTAAATTCAGCGAGGAGAAGAGTTGAGGGCAGGCGAGGACAGGCTGATGGTCAAACTCGGAGCCTGCATTGTTTGAGGTATAGGATAATGACACGTCAGGCAAGCCTTTGGGGGTGGCAGACAGACTTTCATCCTGCAATGCTCCCTGCATTTCACTTCAGCTCTCTGGTACCTGGAAGCTTTAAGTCCTTAGAAACCCAGTGAACCCCTTCAGCACTGTTGTTGGTTGCTGGTTGCAGGCGACAGGGTGAGTGGGATGAAGGGGTGCTTCTGCTAAGGAGTTGGGACCCATAGTAGCAAAATCTGCCCCAAACCAATCCTGTTGTGGCTTTCAAAAATATATATGCACGCACATCTGTACGTCTCCAATCTCACCTAGGCAGGGGACCTTGAAGAGCCCCAGCTATGGGGACGTCACAGGACAATTCTGTGTCAGAGCACTGTTGTCTGTGCTTTTATGCAGTGTTTTCATTCGCTTTGTTGATTTTTATTTCCTTTTCTTTGTCTTCTGTTTCTTTCCCCTCTCTTCTCCAGACTTGTTTGAATGATTTGTTTGTTTTGGTTCCTTTTCCTCCTTTTCCTTTGGAGTTTTTGACGTGCTGATGTGTTGCGGAGCTCGGCTCCTTGCGGGTGTTGATAACTGCTTTGTTTTTGATTAATCTCAGCTATCTGGGCAGTGTTGTCGAGACAAGCTTCTCCTCAGCTCAATAGGTAAGGGTGATCCATGTCCGAAAGGATGGTGTGGGGGCTGTGGTGGGTGGCGGGGAGTGTGGCATGGGAGGGGACACGGAAGGGGCTTTTCCAATACCATCTCTTCCTTTAAAGGGGAATAAGGATTTGTAAAATACCAGGACAAACCTTTGTGCGAATAGTCTCTGTGGCTTTTGGGTTTCCCCACTTAAAAGCATGTAGATATTCTCATTTCTTCAGAGAGGTCTTTCTGCAGCGGGGACAGGTTTAACATTTGGCAGCTTTTAGTTTTTGTTAAGGTAAGATTGGTGAGCGGAGAGAGCTCTTCCTTCTCTGTTGTGTAGAGCTGTGCACGGTCTGATGGACTGGGATTCACAAGTGCGGAGGTCCTGCTTTCTGCTCAGCCGCAGAGTCCTAAAATCCCTGTTGGCGAGTTGCTTCCTACGTGCCTCTCTGCCCTCCCTCCTTTTGGCCAGTGGGAGCAAGAGAATACCCATCTCGCTGGACTCTACGGAGGAGTCTGAGATTGTGAAGCACGATATACATTAGGGAATTAGACCTTTAAATATTTCAATTGGCCTCTTCAAACCAATTTGAATAATGGAATAATTTTTTAAAATGCTGCTCCATAAGCAAGACTTAGTAATAGCTCTCTAACTGGCATCCGCTAGCACAAAGTTATTTTGGACCGGTGATCTCATTCTGTGAATTCAGGACCATATTTCAGAACCTGGGCGCAGTTTTATTTTGGTAGATGGGTAGGCTTTTTTTCTTCCGAAATGGTGTGAAGCTGGAGGAGGGTCTTGTCAGGTGCAGGGGCAAGGGAGAGGGCTCTTTCTCAGGTTTTGGCAGTACAGCGTGTGCTGTGGGATGCCTCATCTTTGTTCTAAAATAGAGTGATTTGAATGGCAAGAAGAGCTCCATATCTGCAAAGCTTTCCTCTCTGGATTCTTGCAAAGACTGCTTCAAACGCACCAACAACTTTAAACACTTAACCAAACTTTGGAACATTTCGCTGAGGAAATGCCCTTCAGAGACTGTCTTTCTGGGGAAAGACCCATAGATGTAGGGATGGCCATGGGTTTTACTGGAACTGAAATGGAATAGAATAACTAGAAGTTTATTTTCAAACCCCTTGCCAGGAACTGAGAGATTTTTCTTCCTACTTACTCCTTTCATTCAAACTGCACAAGGGCCCGAAGCTACGTGCAACCAACTACAAGCTAGCTCCAAAGGCCAGCCCTAGTGACATGAAAGCCAGTATTAAGCAGAGGGCGATCTGTCTTGTTCCAGACCTGGTTGTTGCCATTCTTTGTGATGATGCATAGGCCTGTATGGCAGCAGTTTTCCAGAAATTTGAAGCAGCGACGGCTGTGCCGTTTATCCACAGGTAGGATTGAGGTTCTAGCCTTGAATTGGAGCCCAGCTGGACTGCAGGAGAGCCCTGCCGAATGGAGTTAAACAGCTGGGACTGGTGTCCAAAGTGATAAAATCCCAGGCCCGTGTGGACGACTGTGCTGCAGTCAGGGAGGAAGATGGGGATGGCTGGGAGGTTTGTGTGCTGGTAGGAGCTGCAAGGCCAAAGCAGAGGAGAGGCTGAGGGGTTCAAATGGTGGGGGCTCTTCAGAGTTCAGACTGTGGCTAAGACATGGGGACAGAGTGAAAGTCATGAGGTGGGTGGTGGGTGCAAAGGATGTGGCCAATAGTGGGAGGATGCCATTTTTCCTGCTGTGTCCATTGGAAGCATTGCCTTCATAGCGTGCAAAGAGAGAGCTTCCATCTTTTTGGCAGAATCAGGTGTCAGATGCTTACCTTTCTGGATGCTGCTCTTAGCCCTGGCAGCCAAGGAACCACTCAAGTCCAGACCCCAGGTTCAGCTTGGAGTGATATTCAGAAATCTCAGCAGGGCTGTTTTTTGGAGTTTGAACAAGGCGGTAGCGCTTTTCTAGCCAAGGGGCTTAGAAACCAGACCAGTGGTCTTGGCGTGACATAAGTCATCACAAATTCATATCTGGGTTTATGGCTTCAGCCAGTCTCTTAGGGCTCAGAAATCTTTTGGCAGCTTGGCTCAGAGGAATTTGAAGGGAGCTGCAATGCAGATTCCCTCATTCTCTGCTACTGGCAAATACTAGCCAGTCACTCTTCTCCATAATGCATGGACACGTAGGCCGAGCTGAAAGGAACCCAGGAGCAGGAGAAGAAAGGAGGAAACCATCTTTGTCAAACTCACAGTGATGAAGGACTAGGACCTCGGGTTCATTGGCAGGTGCTCCCCCAGCAAGGAGGAGACAACAATTATGCCAAAAAGGGAAGGCAGAAGGATAGTAAATCCTTCACTCTAATAAGAAAAAAATCCAATAAAGAGTGTAGTCAAGTAATTCCTTTATATTTGAAGTTGTAAAATTGTCAGTGGATGAGAGGCACTGGAGTTTTACATCAGACCAGTCAGGTTTTATACCACAGTAATGAAAGCAGAGGGATGAAGACAGAGGAGCGGTTTGCAAGCTCTGTGATGGGTCCAGATCAGCACTAGGGGTACTGCTAGCAGTATGAATAGGGACGCATGCAGATGAGGCTGGAAGAAAGGGGCAGCTGGGGGCAGAGAGCTAGAAATGCAAATGCCTCTGGATGACTCTTTCCACAAAGTGTCAATTCATATTCCCCCAGGAAGCCTGAAGTGGGAAGACTTTGTGATCCCTCTCGCTGTGTGAAGGGCGGGCAGGTCTTATTTAAGAGCCTGGATAATTTATGCTATTATCAAATTAGCACTAGTAACTTTCCTTTTTTCTTTTAATTGAACCCAATGTGGCGTGAATGTATCGCCTAATTGGGAAGAGTTTATTCTGTCATCTCACTGCAGTGGGAAACCCAAAAACCACAGCGGAGGCGAGCGAGCACCTGTGCTCCTCTGCACCGCGGTTTGTCCGGTGCTCCTCCCCTTCATTTGGACAGCATGGCGGATGCCTGGTGCTCAAAGCCTCAGGCACCTTCCGGGTACGAGCGGCACAGCCACGTCCATCCTGCAGATGAGGAGACTGCCCCGTGCCTGTGTGGGGAAGGAGGGCTCCTCTCTTTCAGTTTGAAAGAAAACAGGTTCCCCTTTAAAGACTGTCTGTGCTGATCCTGTGCATGCGTTTCACGCCCACTCTCGCTTGGAGAAGTTATGAGTCCCTTGTCTGAGTGCTGTTTTCTCTCTCTCTCTCGTTTAGTTTTTCTCACTCCTGATTTTCTCTTCTTTTTTTTCTTTTTTTTTGTTTTTGTTTTTAAATCCTCTAAATCCCCCCCAACCTCCTCCTCTCCCACCCTCTTTTCCTCTCCCTTGGTCCTCTCCTGTCAGCATGGTGAA